ATGGTGCATGAACATTCCTGCAGGGTCTACAGCCGTCTAGCACAATGGGATAGACTGGGCTCCATAGGTGGCCAGAACAGTGATGACACCACGTAACTGAAGTCAGTAGACAAGATAGAGGGTAACCTGATGAAATCAAATGACCATGTGATCAAGGTGAGTCTTCAAGCTGGAGGACATTGGCTTTGTTTTGTCCTGAAGACGATTGGCCTCCACCATGTCTGCTTGCCAAAGACACGCTATGCAGAAATGAATTCCTGTAAGGCTTTCAACCCAGTTTCATGAAGACAATTGGTTAGCTGCTTATCTGAACAATGAACCTATGACTATATCCAGTCATGGAACTTGTGGTGATGATGGTTTATTTTAGTGAATCAACTTAATTTTTATTAAATTATAAATAATGCAGCTGTTTTTATTTTATTTTAATTTTTAAACCAGAAAATCAAACCAAAATAATAATAAATCTTCTGCATATTAAAAAAGAATAGGTAAAATGAGTGGAAAAATTCTTTAATAAAATAACCCTGGAATTAGACCAAGGTGACCATATATGTATTAAAATATGTCCATTGAAAATATCCTTGTTGCTCAGTTCTTCAGGTGGATTGAAATTGGTTTTTAGTATTGAAGCAAGATAGTGAATTCAGACAGCTTGAATTAGAGCAGAAGTTGAACTAACAATACAAAATGTTTGTGTTAGATATCAGTTGAGGAAATACCTTTGACCTTACTTCCGCTGCATCAGAAAGTGAGTGAAAATCGGAATGGGTGATAGCATAAACGGGAAATGCATCCAGTGCTAAAATAAACAGGATGCACAGATGTCCTGAGTGGAAGAAAATGTGTGTTTGCATGGGTGCATGCCAAAAGAGGCGTGGCCACATAAAGTTGCGTCGGAACATAGCCAAAAAAGGCATGGTCACAAGAAGTTGCATAGGCAGAAAACCAGAAGGTGTAGCCACATGAAGTTGCATGGTTGTTATAAAACTGGTCCAATTCTTGGGCTGGCAGAGTGAGGTTGGCTAGAGTTTCACCGAAGAATTGTCTCCATCAATTCCTGTGTGTGCAATCCTAACCTCTGTAATTTTCCCTCATTCTACCAAATTGCCACAACTCAAACAATAGCAATAAAGATATTTATATATTTTTATATATAAGTGTTCATTGCTTTGTTCAAGTCTAGCAGCAATATACAATATATACACACCAACTGGAGACAAAAATTTGAATAATAAATAGAAAGGAAATTTGTTTCGAATATAAATTCTTTGAATTTTCCATCTTTTGCTTCAATGTTATCAGCCAGTTCTTGTTCTCTAAAAAATAACATGTTGTCCCAAAACTGGAAATAATAACTGGCCTTCTCTGTATTGTTGTTGAAATAGCAAATTCTGCTATTTGGTCATGTAAAGAAAATGGGGTGGGTACTTGAAATAGTTCTTTATTAAAGAGAAATGGTAAGGAATTAAAGACAGTTCAAGTCACTTACTGAAGAATGAATATTATATGGAGCAGAGGGAAAAAAATAAAAGGTAAAAAGAAGTTTGAGAATCTCAACAGAAGAGATAATGCAAAAATAATGGTAAAATGCAATGAAAAATAATTATTAGAACTCGGTTCAAATTCCAGCTGGGACAATTTGGACACATTATTTACATAAATTTGATTTTTTAAAATCATTTCCTCCTAAGCAAGGCAATAAAGCCGCTAGGATACAAGAGGTTAATGAGGGGGAAAGAAAGAAACATTAGATGACTATTGACATTGCATTTAAATTTTTGAAGATTTTTAGTTGACAGAAAAGAAAGAAACTAGAAAAGAGATCCACAAACAAGAAGCACAATAAAAGAAACCATTAGCATAGAGGTCTCAGTTGTAACTAGAAATTTCAACAGTAAAATGATGAGCCCTAACTGCCAATCTAGTAATGCACTTAAATTTATGAAGTTGAGGTACCAACAAGGAAAGCTCATCAAAACAATTACCATGAAAATATTTATAGACAAGGCACAGGAAATCCATATAAAGGCTTTGAAAAGTGACTGAAGCCAAGATGCCAGGTCAGGACTGACAATATTGCAGATTCTTTTTTGGATTTTGACAAGAATCTCTATATACATAGCAGAAGCACCAGACCAGATATGGCAGGAATATTCAATAAAAGGTAGACTTATAAATGGTAGACTTATAAACATATAAGATAGACAGTTTTTCTCATCAGTATCTATCATGACACAGTGAATCAACTTGCCTAACAGTAGACCTAGTAATTGATTCAATATAATCTTTCCACTTCATTTAAGGTACAATGTGTAGGTCAACATCAGACATGCTGATGGAAGGCAAAAAAGTTCACAAAGATGATTAAAAGAAAGGGTTTTAAGAAAGAAACCTGTATGTATCTTCTTATACCTTTCCCATTCCTAAAGGAACAAAACTCGCTCATGGGTGGTAGGAGAGTGGGTCATAGAATGGAGTCAAAATATGCACAGGAGACAGCATTATTACAACTGTCTGGATTTTTAAATATACTCAAATAATTTCAGAAGTAGACCCAGTGTAGGCATAATAAACTCAAAGAAAAGAAATGGTGATAACATTCACCTCGTTCACTGGAAGTTCTTGATTTTGAAATGTGTGTTAGTTGAGGCAAGGTCCCCAAGTTAGCAGGCAGAGATACCAGACATGATGTCTACAAAGGAATGTGTATAATCTATCAGAGGAATCGAACATTTCAGAGATAAAAACTACCTTCAAGGAAATACAGTGATGGAAATATTGGGATAAAGAAAATAACAAAATACAAAGAAATCAGTCTGAATCAACCAACACCATATCAGAATATTTGTCAAATACAGAAAATAGTCTATGGGTTATGACAAAACCAAGGAACTGATTAGGATTTCAATAGATAAAAAAAGAAAGGCAGTTAGAATGAGGCAAGCAAAGAGGATTAGAAGAATTAAAAAAATTATGGCTGAATAAACCATGCCAATGATGAAGTATAGTTAGTATAACAATTATCATTGAAGAAAGAGAAATTGTCGAACAGAGTTCAAAACTCTTTCTAACCTGTTCTATTCACTTTGTGAAAACATGAATTCTTCTCTTCTCCTCTTCACTATGGATTAAATAGCAGGGTAGACTGAGCTGTCTAGACTTTTGGTGGCAACCAGTCTAAGAGAAGGAAACCTCTGAAATCAAAGCTGCATGGAAGGCAATGGGAAACCATTCCACTACCCTTCCAAAAAAATAATGGCAATTGACAAATAAAAAAAGAAATCTGTAGACACCCATGAAAGGACATAGGACTAAAAAGAAAATGACAGAATTAATATAGACAGACTTATATATATATATATATATATATATAAAATGATCCTTGCAAGATAAGGGTATGAAAGACCCAACACAGAAAATACAAAAACTGGTGTAATATGATGTCAGCCTTCGGTTATAAGTGAAACAGGAAATATTGTATTTTTCTAATAAAAATTTGAAAAAAATGTTGTCTTGCCTTTTTTTGTTTGGGGACAACAGAGTTATTTGTCAAATTGGTTGATATTGTCATAGTGTCATATTGCTTGAAATTGCCATTTTGTCATATTGGTTGATAATGTCATATTAGTTGATATTATATTGGTTGATAATGTAATATTAGTTAATATTGTCATATTGGTTGATATTGTTATATTGTCATATTAGTTGATATTGTCATATTGGTTGATATTGTCATGATTTTATATTGCTTGATATTGTCATATTGGTTGATATTGTTATATTGTTATATAGGTTAAGATTGTTATATTGACATATTAGTTGATATTGCCATATTGCTTGATATTGATATATTGACATATTGTTTGATATTTTCATATTGGTTGATATTGTCATATTGTCATATTGCTTGATATTGTCATATTGCTTGATATTGTCATATTGCTTGATATAGTTATAATTTCATATTGGATGATATTGTTATATTGACATATTTCTTGATATTGTCATTATTGGTTGATATTGTCATTTTGTCATATTACTTGATATTGTCACATTGGTTGATATTGTCATAATGTCATATTGGTTGATAAAAATGTCAGTTGAAACTTGCATCAATACAAAAGTGCAAGTTAAATAAAAAGAAAGATGGTCATTCTAAAAGATCTCATCACTTTAACCACTTTCTTTGCTGTTTAGAATTATCTTAACCAATGGAATTACCTTCTTTGATATGGGTTGATGGCGCCAAAGCTGTGCCAAGGATGCAGAAATACAAAGCACAAGATTCTCTAATGCATCACACTTGCCAGCTTCTTGGATTTGAGGCTTGAAAATGTTTGCAGCATTGAAAAACAATTTTAAATTGTGGACCAAGAATTTGTTCCTATCTCAAGATTCTGATTATGGCAAAAGTGAAACTAAAATGATTAGAAGCGATGGGGTGTGTGTTAGGAACAATGGAATCAATTTCAAAAAACAGTATTCATACAAGTGACTCTCCACAAGTCATGCTTCCAATTTATTTCCAGGGAAACTCCAACAGATACGGTGAGCAGAATAATATTGTTGGCATTTTCAGTCGCAAAACACTTATTTCCATTATTTCAGTGTAGGTGAAAGCTCAAAGCGAATCAATGAATGTTTTCATAATTTGACGTCTGTGCAGGGCTATCTTGAACGGTATTTGTCACATATATCACTGATGAAATGCATTTACCTCACTATGCTCACATTCACTGTTTTGGCCTGCATAAATGTTCAACAAGTGTCAATGAATGACACACACCTGCTTATGCACTTTCATGTCAGACATCATTTGGTCAGACTACCACTTAGCTGCTGTCATAACCACCCTACAAATAGAAAATGAGTTATTGGCAGAAAGGTTCAACATCTACTGCCATGCCATCAATATCTGCTGCTGATATAGTGGGACAATTTAATAAAATGGGAGGTATTACTTCTGGAGCAACCTTTGCAAAAAATGTAATGCTTACCTCATACGAACGCATACATAAGTGACGATGAGGATAATGATGAGAATTCCAGCCAGGACACCAACAACGGCACCAATGATGGAATTGGTGGTCTCCTCGGAAACTTCTTTAGCCGCTGACAAGAAAACAAAATGTTACTGTCTATTATTCTTAAGTTTTACTTGTTTTGATGGCATGTATGACTGTGTTTTATACTTAATAAACATAAAACATTGATAGTAAAAATATAAGTTGCATAAATGTTTTCAACCCACAAATCCTCCCAGATGAAGCAATAAAAAACACATGCGCAAGTGTTCTAACCATTAATTAAAAGAAAACTAAATTTAGTTAATTAGAACGATAATTGTAATTTTCATAACTTTCTTGATTGGTCTATGGAATTATTGATGTGCTTATCTTTCATGTTTATCAATATATGCAACTTATAAATTACTGACAATTGAAGTAAATGACATTTCTAAGAATTCTCTAGTTAAAAAAAAAAAAAAAACAGAGAAAAAAAAATGGAAAAAATTTGTGTAAAAGAAAAAAATTACTTACACAACTGATGTTCACATCTGGGGCCATCAAAATATTTTGTGCAGGCACAAATGACTGTAGCACCCCGACTGCATGTTGCACCATTTTTACAATAATTTGTATCACAGGCATCTGAAATTACAGAGAAAAATTTACAGTTCTTTATTAATTCAAAAACTTTGGAGGAAAACTTTTTGACTCATTTCTTGTCATTTTGTAGTTTATATACAATCAATTTAATAATTTTTAAAGTAATTAATGGATTTTAATTATTTTTATTACTATAGGCATTCTTTAATTGCCTGTTTGATTGGACAGCCTCATTTTTGAAACAGTGAAATTAATGTCTACCAGCCTAGATAAAGTCTTTAGTAAAGAAAATGTACCTATTTGGCAGGGATGAAATCTACAGATATAGAAAGCCCCAGCTGGAGAAATAGATTTCACAAAAGGAGTAACAGTTTTGCTTTGTTCTATATGACTCTATGGCAAAAGAGTTAAAAGGTGATTTCCCAGGATAATAACAATACACTAAAATTATGATCAATAGCAGATAGGTAGCATTATCCAAGACAATGGCATGGATCAACCAATTCTAGTTAGTTGAATAGTACGGTTGTTAGTAGAATTTGTTAAGAGGAGTTTCAACCACTAGTAATGAATTGCACCTACAATATAAGTGTGAAAACAATCAAAAACATGACTAAAAAAATCTGATTCTTTATCCTACAAGATTTGTCATGGGGGTCAATAAAGAGTGCCTCCTCCAGTGGGAAGTCAAATTGGGTTTGATTGTAAGAAACATGAAAAAATCAAAAAAAAAAAAAAGAGTTAATGGTGTTTGAAGAAAAAAGGTTTTGTTTGTAATCTGAGATTTTCCAAAGTAGGCTAACCAAATTTTTCATATCCCATAACAGCAAAATCCAAATAATCAAATTTCAGAATGTCTGCAAAAATCAACAAGTAACTTCACTTAATCTCAGGATTCTTAGTAAATTGATTATTGTTAAAATATCCAGATTAAAATTACTTACATATACATTTGCTTCCTTGCTCAATATAGTTTTTGTTGCACTCGCATGTGAATCCTTTTGGATCATCTTTACATGTTGAATTCTTTGAGCAGTTGTGAGTTTTCATGACACAGTAACCTGTAGAGTTGAAGAAAAACTATTTGTGAGAGATCAGCAGTAGCAATTAGAAACAAATTTGGCCAATCAGAAGTCAAGGAAAATAATGGAACAATGTCCATTCAACACTCTAACATTTTGATTGGTTCATTTTTTCCAGTAATAAGGCAGTACAACCAATAAAAGCAATGTACATGATTTTTTTTAAATACCACACAAAAAAAAATCTTTGTTGGTCAAACCATCTATATAAAGGGTGTTCCAATAACTTGGACCAATTTTAAATTGGAATTAAGTTTAAGCATCTAATGAATTTTTTTCTTTTTCTTTCAGATTTAGCAGACATTTGGGCGATATTATTTTTCACACATAATTGCCATGACTTAAATAACATGATCCAATAGAGAAATAAATAAATTTTCATCAATAACACTGATTTATCTGCTGCTGATTTTGATGCATCTTAATGAAACACCCTTATATATAATCTGTCTAAATTAAACACCCTTCATATAAAACAGAGGATGTCTGTGTGTCTGTCGGTTTGATAATTTTTTACTTGAGATCCATTCAACCGATTTTGATCAAACATGGCACATATATTGTACAATGTAAAAGATAGGTTCTAAGTGTAAAAAATTGATAATTTTTTAAAAAATCAATAATCAATAAAGCTGATAAAAATCGATTTTTTGTTCAAACTTGGTATGTAGGTTACCTACATCATGACAAGCTCAACGATACCTCATTTTTATTTCTACACCACTGCGTTTAGTGAAAAACAAAAATTCATTTCAACACAAATTTTAAACTAAAAACTCACTCAATTTTCAAGCAATCTAATACAAACTTCACTAGATTGTAGCCATTAAGTTGATTGTTTAACAGTCATTTAACTTGATAATTGAGTCCACTCATATTGTGAAAACCTGTGTAAATAGTGAAAAATGGCAATTTTTACTGGTTTCTTTCTTATTTTTCATTGATATTTCAACCAATTTTCATCAAACTATTTTCTTCAATTACTCTAAAGTACTTTCATTAAAAACATTTTGAATTAATTACAGATATCACAGAAGTAGTCTGTATTTATTCAATCGAAGTGAGCTGAGGAGATTAAGGGGTAAAACAGGCAACATGAAGACCTACTTCAGAGCACAATCATTTTGAAGTTTTTGAAATTCAATTTGTCAGTGTGCTACCAGGAGTGAAAGAGAATAAGAAGACTAGTGAGGAGAAATAATAATAAAAGAAAAGGATTCAAGAATACAGAAGATGGCAATTTTTGAAGATTTTAGGTGTGGCCAGAAAGCAAGAAACTGGCAGAGATTTCTGGAAGTGAGAAATGCAAGAAAAGAAACGCAATTAGAATAGGACTTTAAATGTTATAAAGAACTTCACACTTAAAATTTGAAACGGTCTATAACATCAAAATATAAAAATAGAATTAAATGAATAAATAAATAAATACAAAAAAAAATGAACAAATAAATATAAAAAAGTTAAATAAAATCTTTAATAAATTGAACAAATGAAATCTTAACTAACTGAGGCAATCGGATTCTTTTGTGGCACCATCTGTCTTGGTATATTTTCCACCTGGGCACTTCTTGCAGGATTTCTGATATTCCTTATCTTGGAATGAATCTTTGGCACATTTCTTACAGATGCTGCCATTATAATATTGCCCAGCCTTACAGGGTGCTGTCAAAAAAGTAAAGAAAGAATTATATATAATGTGTGTGCACATATGTGGCGGGTGAAAATGAGCTACTTCGTTACCAAATCTTTGACACAATTCTACACAAAAGAATTTGCTTCAAGAGGCGGCTAAGTTTTCGAGGACAGATATTTTATTGTAGAAACCTACATTTCTGAATTGTCATGTACAATCCTATGGCCACCTCAGTTTCCAAAATTTAAATATGTCTATAATTTCTGATTTTTAGACTTTTAATTCCAAAACACGCTGATTCCAATCCCATGGAAACACATACCAAATCCTTTTGTGACCCCTGATGTAAACAAATTGAATAAACTAAATTTTAAATTTTAACAGACATTCATGTGTCTCATGAAAGTTAAAACTGAGAAATAAATATTTCATAGCATAAACTATCCATAAAAAATGTTGTTTTTTTTTTAAATGCTCATATATGCTAGAGAGGAATCATGGGGAATTTGTTGTTTAAAAAACAGTAATTTGACTTTGCTAACCAGATGCTTTCTCTGTAGCAAAATGGTAAAGCATGTCAGGCTATATGGTGGTTCTGTGTAGGATACAGGTTTGATTCCTGTTGGAGGATACATATTTTCTATGAAATTTTTCAGACATTCAGGCCAGTAAATGTAATTAATATTGTTTGTTATAAACAGACCATTTACTTAAATATTTGTATCTATAAAAATAACATATAAATAGAAAATATATTAAAATAATTGTCAGACTTAGTCCATTTCATTATATATATATATATATATATATATATATATATAAAATATACAGTTATGCAGATATATTTATATCTATCTATCTATCTATCTATGTATATATATATATATATATATATATATATACAGTTATAGATATATGTATATGCATATATATATATATATATATATATATATATATATATGAATATATATATATATATATATATATATATATATATAGTTTATGCAAAACTAGGTAATCCATATGGGTAGACCCAAGGAGGATGATATCCAGAGAGCTCAATGTAAATTCAAAGCAAACATGTTTGAATATAAACAGATACTTTTTTTTTCTTTTCAACTTTTGGAAGTGAAGTCTGATGATTCAGAGCCCTGTAAAAGGGTTGTGGTGAAATAACTTATTACATGGAACCTTAAAGTGATCTGTTTTTATTCAAATAGATATATATATATATATATATATATATATAGTTTATGCAAACTTAGGTAATCCGTATGGGTAGACCTGAGGAGGATGATATCCAGAGAGCTCAATGTAAAATTCAGAGCAGATATGTTTGAATAAAAGACAGACCACGTTAAGAGTCCATGTAATAAGCTATTTCACCATAACCCCTTTAACAGGGTTCTGGATCATCAGAATTTACTTCCAAAAGCTGAAATGAAAAATGAAAAGGAATTCACACGTTTTTGATGGACCTCATCAAGTATACGTAAAATTAATGAAGTGAGGAAGTGAGGTGGGAGAGAGGATATGAGTGTGTCATATGTATCATTTCAGTTTCCTATTTTTAAACCCAGTGTGTCGGCTAGATGTTGCTCAAATTTAATGTGTCTCTAGATATAGATGGCTAAGGGGTGAATGATAAGAACGACATTAAAGGAAGAAGTTACAACAACCCCAATCAATTACACGACAGGTTTCATTCAAATTCTTAGACGCTGTTAATTCGCGTTACTTTAAGGTGCATATTTGGGAGGTTAAGGTTTGATAAATATCTAAATGTTAAAACAATCTATGAAGAAATTAATTTGAAATTCGGCGAAGTTTTGGGTATTTTCTATGAAACAGTCGATTGGAAAAATTCATAGACATGATGATCCAGAACCCTGTTAAAGGGGTTATGGTGAAATAGCTTATTACATGGAATCTTAACGTGGTCTGTCTCTTATTCAAACAAAAATATATATATATATATATATATATATATATTACTAATGTTCAATCTATACAAGACCCAAGGTCCACTCAAGATATATAAAGATAAAGAAAAATTCAAAAAAATTATCTCAAGACTGACTTTGGGTTTTGAAGATATTCTGTTTGTCAGGGTTAGATAAATCCATTGAATTAATTAGTGAGTATCATAATTATATATATTGAATAATGAAAATTAGTCACATGAGAGCATTTGAGATTTAAAAAGCATTATAACATGATAATGTTAAACTTAAATTGTTCGATTTTTTTTCCTATTTTAACCCTTGTAAATCTGTGGATTTAAAATAACAATAAAAAAATAATTTAGGAAAATAAGCCTAGCAGATTTACAAATTATAATATAATTCTAAATATTAGATATTTAAACCATCAAAATATTCAAAATTATTGTTTATTTACTTGTATATAATATACATATTTTATATATATATTTTTATTACATACTTTATTGTATATATAATATATATACTTTATTATATTCATTACATATATATATCTTATTGCATATAGAATATACATATATTATTGTATATATAATATAAATATTTTATTGTATATATAATATATAATTTTTTGTATATGTAATATACTTATTTTACTGTATATATGTAATATACATATACAATATACATATTTTTGTATATATAATATACATATTTTACATATATATGTATACATATTTTATTGTATATGTAATATACATATATTATTGTATATACAATATATATATTTTAAAGATAATATACATATTCTTTCATTTTATATCATTGTCACCAAATAAATATAAATTGATTTCACTTGGACATAATTTTTTTTCAACTTGTACATAATTAGAAATTACTTAAAAGCAATAAATCAACAGGAATATTAATTCCTTTATTTCAAAGTGCTTTTTTAGCAGTATTGTGTTTTCAAAAATTGCACTAGAATGTGCCATTTTTGTTCTGTTATTGTAACAAACAGAAATCACATGACAAAATTTAGTTTCTTACTGGGGGCAATAGTAAAGTGACAAATATTACTTAAGGCTATGAATGATAGGAAATTGTGGAGAGCCATGATCACTTACATTGTGAAAAGACATGTCACATGAAAGAAGTTTAAAATATTTAAGGATAAAATTCTTAAATGCTTTAACTAAGAAACTTTATTTTGTTTTAAAGAAAGTAAAATGATATTTTGAAAGGAAAATAAACTCACGTATAATACAAGAAGATTCATTTTTGGCTCCTTCTTCCTTTGTTAAGAATTCATTTGGACATTTTTTGCAGAATTCACTATCATTTTTGCGATAAAATCCAACTTGGCACTTGGTGCACACACCATTCTTATTCTCCTCTCCATCTGGACAAATTCCTGAAAGAATCAAAAAAGAAACAAAGAATTTCTTTGAATTTCCAGATGCAGGAGTTTTGAATTTGTTAACATTTCGAAAATATCTTTTTCTACTACTTGTTGTAAAATTCTATTTCAACTGAAATAAAAACATCACAAGAGAAAGAGAGAAAAAGAGATTTTGGATGACTGTCCTCCACTATTTCTGCTATTTTACTTACTCATATTATTCTGTTTCTTATCTACCATTTGATAAATATTAAAAATAACACATTGGTCATTCTCAGTGAAACAGGTTAGAGTCAGAACTCTTTGATACATTATTCTTTTACTAGTGTACTAATATTAAAAGAATAATGTGTAACATAATGAACATTTTGTGACTTTCCTGTTTGAATTTTCTTTTTTCTCTCTTTCTTTTTCTCACTGAAATCAAAAAAACATCTCTGATATGTCTTTTCTGTCTTTCTGAACAATCAAAGCGGAAGACTATTATTTAGGAGATATTGGCAGGGTGTTTTCTCTTTTCTTTTCTTCTTCCTTTCTTTTTTTTTCCTCACAGAAAGCAACTAGCATCTCTGATATGTCTTTTCTGTCTTTCCACATGATCATGATGGAACAGTCCAATATTTATGAGGTATTGACAGGGCGTTTCTTTCTTCATTTTTCTCATGGAGACCAAGTAGCATCACTGATATGTCTTTTCTGTCTTTCCACACAATCAAAATCAAATAGTCCATTATTTATGTAGGATTTGGCAGGGTGTATCGGTCGTGCTAACAAAAGTAGTAAGAGAGTGCCAAGTAGAATTAGAATAAAATAGTATCCTAATTTCTATTAAGTTTCCAAAAATGAAACTGTGATTATTTAATTTTTTGTTATCTATTTTCACCTTTGCACCATTGAATTTCTGGGAATCAAATTTGGTCATTCTAATTTTTTGATAATTTCCAAATTGGTGAGAAGAAAATCAAAATTTTATGGTTTCTGGAAAATTCTGTTGTCATCTTGGGTTGTTGGAATACTGTAATGTCATTTCTTGGTATCTTATCACTTTACGCACGACTCCGAGAATTATGTTATTGCTTTTTATCACCACATCCAGTGTGTGTTAAAAGTATCAGAATAAATTCAGAATCAATGGATTGACCTTTCTTTGGGTGTTGTGCTTGTATGGAAAACCTACCAATATTGCACATGGAAGAAAGGATTGACCAAATATAATGAAAATAATAGTCTGAATACATTTAGTATAAACATTGACTGATATGAAAACTACAAATGTCACTCAAATGGTCTCCGTATATTTGAGAAGGGTATTAGAATAATACAGAACCTATACTCACAACAAACCACCAACATATGGATAGAAAATTAGTTCTTCAGATATACAAAAATAAAAAATGGTGTAAGACAAGGATGCATCTTCTCACTGGACTTATTCAACCTATACAACGAGAGAGTTCTCAGAAAATTAGAAGTCCTACCAGGATTCATTATTAGTAACATAAGATATGCAGATGACACAGTGTTGATAGTAGAAATGGAAAGGAAACTATAAAAACTTCTAAGGGAGGAAGTGAAGGAAAACAAGAAAAAAGGATTAAACATCAACTGCAAGAAGACAGAATGCATGGTTGTTAGCAAAAAGGCATGAACCCAAAGTGTGAATTGCAAATCAGTGACATATTATGAAATCAACTAAGTCCGACAATTATTTTAATATATTTTATTGTATATATTATTTTTATAGACACAAATATTTAAGTAAATGCTGTGTTTATAATAAACAGTATTAACAACATTTACTGACCTGAGTGTCTGAGAAATCTCATAGAAAATATGCGTCCTATGAATTTGAATCCTACATGGAACTGTCATATATCATGGAAATTTGTAGTTAAAAAGCAGCAAAATCGACTTTGCTAAACAGATGCTCATTTGTAGCTAAACTAGTATAGCATGTCAGGTTATATGACAGTTCCATGTAGGATACAGGTTCAATTCCTGTCAGAGTGTACAGGTTCAATTCCTGTTGCATATTTTCTATGAAATTTCTCAGGCATTCTGGCCGGTAAATGTGATTGATACTGTTTATTATAAACAGAGCATTGACTTAAATATTTGTGTCTATATAAATGACGTATAACAATAAAATATATTAAAATAAATCAGAGATACAAAAATCAAACAAGTACAAAAATGTAAATATCTAGGAAGTGTTATAATAGATGATGGATATTGTGACACTGAAATTTGAAGGCACATTGGGATAGACAAATATGCCTTCCAAAAACTAAGCAGAGTATTAAGAAATAGAAAAACTTTGCTAGAAACAAGGAAAAGAGTACTAAACTGTTGCGGGATATCTGTCCTCCTGAATGGCAGTGAGAGTTAGACAATCTCCTCAAAGATGAAGAAGAGACTTGAGGCAACAGAAATGTGGTTATACAGGAGGATACTGAGAATAGCATGGACCGATTATTTGAGCAAAGAGAAAGTTTTAAAGAAAATGGAAATGAAAAGTAAACTTATTCTTAATATCAGGAAGAGACAGTTGAAATATCTAGGGCACATAATGAGGAAAGAGGGCTTAGAAAATCTGATGCTCACAGGACAGTTTGAAAGCAAGAAGGACAGAGGAATACAATGTGTAACCTACTTAGTGAGCTTAAGTAAATGGATGGGAGAATGGGATTTGGGAGAAATAACAAAAAGACAAAATTTATTCAGAGCTACAAAGGACAGGAAACTGTGGAGAGCCATGATTGCCTATGTCCTGAAGGGACACAGCATATAGAAGAAGAAGACCTTGGATAAATGGATGGCAGGACAGGGTTTAGGAAAAATAACAAAAAGACAAAATTTGTTAAAAGCTTCAAATGACAGGAAGTTGTAGAGAGCCATGATCACCAACGTCCTGAAGAGATATGGCACACATGTTTGTTTGCAAAATAATAAAACTGAAAACTTTCATACAACTTTTTTACTACTTGTCTTCATACCAGAAAAAAAAATTATCAGCTCAAATCAATAAAAAATTGATGTGGTGAATTTCTAAGCATGGACGTAAATTCAGTGTTCAGTGAATAATTCAGTCTTGTGACAAACTTTGTTCATATCAAGAAATACAAGCAAAGAGACACTCTTGGGGAAATGATATTTTATTGTTAAATAACCACTTAATCCCAATAATTGTTGTAATTCAATTCCTTCCCCATGTCAAGTTAAAATGAACGAAAAATAAAACTTACGGTCACAAGATGCAGACCCTGTTTTCCAGGTTTTAAAACCAGAAGCGCATGGCAGACATTTTTTTTGGAAGGAGACATTTTGATAGTTATTGAGAGGACATTCCAAACATGTGTTGTTTGGACCAAGGTAAAACCCAGCAGAACAATTAGCTGCAAAACAAAGAAAGAGAGAGAGAGAGAGAGAAATAAAAATGAACAGATTAAAATTATTTCTTTTTGTAATTTAAATTTGGGGAGAAAAAAAAAACATTTAGAACATTTAGACATTATTATTTCTGAAATCTGATTTTATCTTTCATTAGTTTAAACTGATAGAATAAACAGCATTAGAATTGTGAAATTCAAAATAAATCAACAGTGTGTGTGTGTGTGCGTGATGTATATATATAAATATACATCTTTTATTGAAAACGGCTGACAAGGAAGATTTAATTAATCTCTTATTGAGCTTTTCCAGCAATCTAACATTTAGTCCAATAGATGAAAATAAAATATTGTTTAAAAAATAAGCAGAATGTCTACTCAATGTCTACTGTCAGATTAATAAATAAAAATTCATTATTTCTTCAGAAATTGCTTTATATATATATATATATTTAGACTTATTATGTCTATTTATTTTAGTTTTAATCCTTTTGAGTCCTTGAATTAATTTCTTGGTGGCCATAGAAAATTGATTAAGAAAAATACCAAAATTTTCTTTCAAATAATTTTTTATTTTCTTTCAATCTCATCTGAGACCATCTTCAGGGAGTTAAATTGTCTGTTGATGTGTAAACATAGTTCTGTAAATTCAAAAAGCTTAGATAGGATTAAAAAACATCTATCAATATGGTGATTTTCTTTCATCTTTTAATGATAATGTTATTAAGCTTATCAGACAATATAAAATGAATTTACATAAAATAAATAGACAAATCTTGTCTATATTATTTAATGAAACATGCATCGATGAAAAAATGCTGCCTAAATATATATATATATATATATATTAATAATTGCAAGATAAATAAATGTTACCATAAGTACAAATTATGTTCAGTAACAGAGCTCAATATCAAAAATAGAGTCAATAAAGTCGCCTCTAGACTGGCACTTAAAAATAACTTGTAAAAATTTCTAAAATTCCAGATTTTTTTTCTTTTTACATTAGTGTTCACTCTGTACAAGGCCCGGGAGCCACTCGAGTTAGAGATTTACAGAGTAAAAGGCACAGTTTATAAGTGAGAAGATAACTGTTAACTCTAGACTTGAACAGGTTTGTAGTGATCGTGAAAACATCTTCTTGGGGCTCAGTTCCACAGTCAGGTTTCTGGCACAGCTGCCAGTTTCATGATAACTTGACTTTCAGGCACTAATATACCATTTCTTATGACTATAAGTCTCATATTCAGTGGCACATGTATTTTAGTAGCTATCTCTATTTTGTTTTATTTTTAAACAGTGAAATTGAAATACTAGTCTGGATAATTTTAGAGATGGCTTCCCAGGATAACTTAAATACAGTCTCAATCGCTACCACAAGACACATTTTATTTAATAAGATTTTAAATTGGTCAGACCAGTAAAAAAATGTAAAAATATAGGTACATCTACTGAAACATGCATCACCACTAAATATAACTTTTATATTACTAATAATGACTGATTAAAAAATCCATTAACTACAGAAGAATTATGTATATATAACAAACACACACATACTCACACAATCACACTCACATGCACACATACTCACACACACTTACACTCTCTCACACAGACACTCACACACAAACACACTCACACTCACAAACACACACACAGAGGTACCTGAATAAATCCAGAGCCTAATGATGAAAATACCTTCATTTCTACACACGTATTTGTTTTTCAAGGTAATCTCCTTCCTTCCTTGACAAAGTACTTAATTCCCAAGTGAATATTAATTACACAGACTGAACATTATATAGAAAAAATACCAGATCAAACATCAGATCAAAGTAGATCAATAAGTCTGTAGCCAAGCATTCACTTACATGTACTTTTCTGTATATTTACACAAATTGAATTATGAGTCAAGTCACATGAGTCAGCTCACATTGATAAGAGAATTTTGTATTTTTCTTCTGTGTCAGAATGAGATGTTTAAGTCTAAGTTCAAGCCAGGATCATATATACACATTTTGCTCATGTACTTTTGCCTTTTTCAGTCATTATCAAGAACTAGGTGTTGTCTGTGAGATAGACAACATTCTGGTGGTTCTGAAAGAAATCTGTTCCTCCCCACTTTAGAATTTGATTCAACATAATCTTCAATAAATATCAACTTACCGACTGTACATTGTTGAGGAGAAACTGCGCCTTCTTTTTCAGTCACATATTTTGGATCAGGACAGAGTGAGCAAGACATCTGATTTGTGATGGTATTGTTTCGATAATATCCAATTGGACACAACTGGCATTTACCATTGACCAATTCAGAACCAGAATCACAGGACACTGTCGTTTGAGAGAAAGAAAAAGGGGTTAAAGACTGCATAGATTTTTGGACAGATTTGGTTGGAGAGAATAGGAGAATCCGAGAAGAATTTTCAAGGTGATGGATGGATAGATGTCTTCTAGAAGACTGGCAAACAAACAACTGACCATACAGTCATATTAAATAAGCAAATATAATTATACTTATAGGAATATTACATTGTTATCAACAGGTCTTCCAGATGGCATCTTGAGTCATCTATAAGTTGGTCAATGTAGGTGTAGTGAGGTCTTCCAACTGATCTTTTGCTGCACAATGAGTTCCATAAGAGGATGTCATTCACAAGTTCTGACTTATTTCTCCAGGAGTGACCAGTTTGCCGAAGCCTTGTCTCTTTTAGCAAAAACTGAGATAGAAAGATGGTTTCCATACAGGCGTTTCTTACTCCTGCATCTGGAAATTCAAAGAAATTCTTTGTTTCTTTTTTGATTCTTTCAGGAATTTGTCCAGATGGAGAGGAGAATAAGAATGGTGTGTGCACCAAGTGCCAAGTTGGATTTTGTTCGGTCTTTCTTCCAGTTGAACCTACTGAGCTTGTGTAAATGGTTAGCAAAATAGGGATTAGCTAAGATAGAAAAAAACAGGAAGTTGTGGAGAGCCATGATCACCCACAACATGATTATCCATGGTTTTTCTCTTCTCAGTTTCATTTATTTGCAGTCAATTCTAGAAATAAACGAATCATATAGATTTCCTAATAAGGGTTCATAAGTGAAAAATAAGTGATACTGAACATTGGGATTTGTTTTGTTTTATGGCACATCAAACTTAATGGGTTAGTTAATGCCGACAAGATTTTAGAATAGATTTGTTTATTTGTTTAGTGACATATCAACTTCTTATGGGTCATTTAATGCTGAAATTTAATTTTCTTGGGAGCATTAATTATTACTTTTAAAAAATGTATTGCTGGTAATATTTTTTTTCAAAAATTTATTGCTGGCACTTTTGCTATAAAAATCTATTTTTATACATTAATAGTGTTTTGACCAGAGTTTTGGGATTAACTATTTGTCCATAGCTGAGACCCTAGCAGGTGCTACCACCCTGGGTTAGGGTCAGCCTGGGAACAACAGCAGTTAAGCAGTGGTTTGATGCTCCTCAAGACCTTCCAATCAGAGGCCTTGCTGCTGTCAAACCCAAGATGCTGAAATTTGGGGTTTACCAAAAACAATCAATAAATCAATAAAGGGATACCTTTAAATGAAAAGTTAAAAGTTTATGATTAAGCTAAGAAAAAGCATATTTACTGAGGTTACTAAGATCTACTGTAAGAACAAATATTTGATAATTTTTATTACTGTTACGATTTTCCATAATCAATTTTTCTTTTTGCCTAATTCATAAATGAAACTGTAAAATAGATAGCTATATGAAAACATGTTTTAAGAAACAGGAAAATTTCATTAGAAACAAAGAAAAGAGTATTAAACTGCCATTTAATATCAGTCCTGCTCTATGGCAGTGAATGCTGGACAATCTCCACAATGGTGAAGAAGAGACTTCAGACAACAGAGATGTGGTTCTACAGAAGGATACTGAGGATACCATGGACATGTGCACAATGAGGAAGTTTTAAGGGAAATGGCAACAAATAGGATGTTCCTTTAAACCCATAAAGAAACAGTAAAAACTTTTAGGACGCATATTAAGGAAAGAAGGCTTGTAGAATTTGTCACTCACAAGGCAAGATGGAAAGAGGGAAAAAGAAACCTAATGAGCTTGTGTAGATGGAGAGAAGAACAGGGAGGGGGAGGGATAGTAAAAAGACAAATGTTGCTAAGAGCTACTAAGGATAGGATGTTGTGGGGAGCCATGATCGTCCATATCCTAAAGGTACACAGTGCATAGAAGAAAACTGTTATATATGCAGTTATTATTATATAACACTTTAGCTGGTTATTTCTCTTAATTATGGTCACACACTGCTGCTGCTGATTGGGAGAGAGGAGCAATTTCACACCAAACAAGGCACTAAAGCCACTAAGACACTAGGAGTTACTGAGAGTGAAACAATATGATGAGAACATTACTGAGGAGAGCAGACAATAAAAGAACAGGATACAAGCAGACAGATGATGATTGATGCTGCATTTAAATTTTAGAAAATTGTAGTTGACCAGAAATCAAGAACCTAGAAGCAAGAAGTGAACTTACGGTTCTAGAAATGGTTCTAGAAATGTCAACAGAGCCTGAGATGTAGCTGTCAATCTGCCAAATAGGAAAGCTCATCAGAACACTTACTATAAAAATACTTAAGGAAAAATTACAGGGATGATATGTTAGAGCAGTGAGAAGGTGAAGCTGGGATACCTGGTCAATACCAATAACATTGCAGATTCTTTTTTGGATTTTGTCAAATCTCATGATACATAGTAGAAACCTCAGACCAAATATAGCAGTAATGCAATATATTCAATAATTACAAATTCGTTTGCCTTTACTTTTATTACTAATCTTTACTCATCACCATTCACGTATACCGTTACTATAGCATATAACATGTGGTCAGAAGCATAAAACTACACAAATTGCAAGCTTTCCTAGGAGGTCTTGGAAAATATCATCCATTCTGCTGTTGATAATAGATAAACTACTGTAGTTGATTTTGTTAGCATGTTAATACAACAGAAAATTGAAATTTGATTGTTTACTTACAATAACAGGAAGTGTTTGTTTTGGCTCCCCTTATATATGTTGTATAATTTGATGGACATTTTTTACAAAATGTTTTCCACTTTTCATCCTGGTAGTCACCATAATCACAATCAATGCATTTTTTCAGGGCAACATCCAAGTATTGACCAGCTGAACAGTTGGCTGTGAAAGAAAGAGAAGAAGAAAAAAAACAATTAAAGAATCGACGATATATTTGTACGTCCTTAGCATATGGATTATATGTGTAAATATGTAACAGGTCTGATTTTTAGCTTTTTATTGACCAATATAATGATTCCATTTTGTATCTCAGTTCTCATTCATGTATAGAAAAACTGGGAAAGGCCCCCATTTACATTCACAAAGTAACAAAGGTTGAAAATATTGCAACAGTGAGAAATGAAAAAAACAAACCCAGTTTTCCATTATGTTTATGTTATGTTGTTCTTATGTTATTATGTTGTTATGTTATTATGTTGTTCTGTTGCTATGTTATGTTACTATGTTGTTATGTTATTATGTTATGTTGTTATGTTATGTTTTTATGTTGTTAAATTTTGTTGTTATGTTATTATGTTATGTTGTTATATTGTTATGTCATGTTATGTTTTTATCTTATGTTTTGTTGTTATGTTGTTATGTTATGTGGTTATGTTATTATGCTGTTATGTTATGTTGTGATGTTATGCTATTATGTTATGTTGAGGTGTTATTATGTTATTATGTTGTTATGTTTATATGTTATGTTATTATGTTATGCTATTTTCTTATGTTATGTTTTTATGTTATGTTATTATGTTGTTATGTTTTTGTTATGTTATTATGTTATTATGTTCTTATGTTACGTTGTTATGTTATGTTGTTATGTTATTTTGTCATGTTATAGTTTTATGTTATGTTATTATGTTTTATGTTATGTTATTTTATGTTATGTTGTTATATTATCTTATGTTGTTATGTTTTCATGTTATTATGTTATGTTGTTATGTTATGTTGTTATGTTATGTTGTTAACTTGTTATGTTGTTAACTTGTTTATGCAAGGATTCAATTACACAGTTTAGATCAGCAGTCATCAAACAAAGTCCGAGCAAACCCCTAGAGGTCAGTGATGAGCTCCGTGGGGTTGATGATAGTCAAGGAGTTGAATAAGGGTCGATGTTCAAACAACTTGTATGACAATACCAGGCCCACCCAATTTATCTTTGCTAAAATTGCTCTCCTGGTATTTTCTTCTTGAGGTGGTTTAATATATCAACTAGTATATGTTTTTTTGTACCCAACATATTTTTATGCAGTATATTGACCGCTTTTAAAGAAGTGTCAAACCCATCACAAAAAAGACCCTGTTCTGAGCTTGCTATATTTTTTATATGAAGCACATTCTCCTTTATACAACTCAAAGCATCCCCATCTTTGTATGTTTTATTGGGCACTAATTTCAGAGCTTCTTTGCATTTGACACAATTCCCTCCTGGTTTTAACCATTTTTGCAGATAATACCTTATTAATTGGATATTAATAGTGGTTATGCATTTCTGCTCCATATGTAATATCATTGGCCCTGATCTGGCGTCTTGTCTACAGTCACTCTCTCACAGACGTGCCGCTGCCTCTCTCTGTCTTTTCTACAAATACTTTCATGGTAATTGCTCTGATGAGCTGCTTTCACTGGTTCCCAGACGCCATGAATTCAAGCGTCCTACGAGGCTGGCATCCCGCTCCCACCCTTACAGTGTAGAAACTTTTAAATGTAGCCGTCTCTTCTACTCCAATAGCTTCATACCTCGCACCTCTCGCCTGTGGAACACCCTTCCCAATTACTGTTTCCCTGAGAGCTATAATCTCCAACTATTCAAATGTAATGTCAATCAACACCTCCAGTTACTTTGATCTACCCACTATCCTTCTCCTCATCCTTTCTTCTATCACTCCTATCTGATCTTGCTCCAAATCTTCTGCAACCCCCTGCATCCTAGTGGCTTCACACCTGGCTTGGGGCGTAATGCTTAAAAAAAAAATATTATCGGCTGTAATTAGGCTCGATGTACTTAATATATTATTTCATTGATTCATTGGGGTTATTTAATATATTTTCTTATGTATATTTGGGGGGGGGGAATTGTGAACCTGATGATGCTAGGGGGAAGATTTTGAAGCTGATCCAAATTTCTTAACTTTTCATACATTTTAATTAACATTTTAATTACCAAGATCAGTGTGAGTTTTAAGGTTTAAAGATATTTTAAATGGCGGTCACTGGGGAAGGAAAAGAAGCCAAAGGGGGGCTCTGGTCAAAAGATGAAGTAGTAATTAGGTGAACCTTTGAGCAACCTCTGTCATGACAGACTAATGGATAAGTTATTCTCTACACTCATCATAGATTCTCTTACCCCCACCTCTCCATCACTCACAGCTCACACAGAGGTCGACTTGAAACTATAATGGATGAAATCAGAACTCTGCCCATTCTAACTTTGACTGCTTATATAAACCTGCAAGTGAAACCTACCAACTTCTGGCTAAGTGGCACTGGTTCCTGAAACTTTTCATTTATCTCCTTATTTTTTCCCTTTTGGTCAAGTGGGTGGCCACTTTGAAGATCCTACTTCATAGACTTTACTGCTGGTCAAACAAAAGCACAAGGCACTTAATATTCAGATAAAATCATTTGCTATTTGTTTTTATGTCAGTGTCCTGATCCAAACATGTGGGTGATTTATAGTGTCCTATAGATATTTAATAACTTTTCTCATGAGGAGAAACGGAGCATTAAAATGTCTGTCAATTCCGTACGTACCTCTTCTTATCCAAACATTGTTTTTTGTATGCTCACCTTTTGTGCAGTTTGCTTCTGAGATTGAAGCAGTTTTTTCAGTAAGTTTACCATTGCGGCAAAGCTGACATGTTGTAAACAGACCCAGACTGTTGTCTTTGAAATAACCAATTCCACAGGGTTTACACAAGGAAGAATTTCCTGCAACTCTTTCATATCCACTATCACAGAACACTAGAAAAGACAAAAATCATTTAAAATCATTAAGACTTTGAATTGTCTCCCCCTCTCCCTCTCATTCTCTCTCTCTCTCTCTCACACACACACACACACACACACATGTAAACATACACACACATTGGGGTGCTGAAAGGCTCTTTGTCCAACAAAGTAGGGATTCCAATTTTAATGTTTTTTCATTTTTTCAGATTTGATAAAGAGAGGAACCTCAAGATCTTTTCAGCACCCCTCATTAAGCCTAACAGAAGTTTTATTGAATAAACTTTTATTGTGTTTTACTGTTTTCCCATAATAACAAGTTTAAGTAAATAATAATAATTCTCTATCAAGATTTTTGATTAAACATGCATAAGTGAAGAGTTATACTGTCACGTATATACACACACGCACACATATACAGAAGATGGTGCTGAATTTTCCTCAGACAAAACAACTTTCTAAAATTTAACCAAACAGAATCTTTTTTTAGAATTTTTCAGCACCTGCATGTATGTATGCTTGTTTAATTATGCACACACACACACACACACACACACACACACACACACAGAGGCACAATTAGGAGGCACAGTGGAGTAATGGATAGCGGCTTGGATTGAGGAATCGGAGAGCCGAGTTCAAGTTCCAGTTCAATCCATTACATTCACTTACATGCTAATACCCTTCACCACTATAATCAAATCTCATGTGCTATACATGCGGGTTGGGGACCGCTTGTGAATTCCAAATTCCCATGAAACTCCAATATTGGAGCCGGCTCAACCCACCTCGGGTGAATGCCGTTACAGGTACAGGTAGGTACAGAGGCACAATTGGGTCGGATCAATCCATAGGATCTTAAATGTTTTGGAGATCCATTAATTCAACGCACACACACACACACACACACACACACACACACACGCACACTTAATGACTGAAATGAAGTCTTCATGAATGTGTTTTTGTTTCTTTCTATTTTGTTAGTCTTTTCATCTAATTTAAATGAAAGGAAATTCTAAACCCACTTCCTGATAATATGAAAGAGTTAACGAATCAGTTTATAGAAAAATAAACACTGGAATTCATAATATTTTTTCTGCTGTAACAGTTTAACAAGAAAGGAAAAAAAACACACACAGCAAATAAAGCATTTGTGCCAATACCATAAATAAACAGAAAAAAAAGCCCAAATATGTATTTTTTCAGACAAATATCATTCTTTTTTGCTTTCATGAATTTTCTTGTTTTTCTTCTCATTGAAGATGACACCAGCATTATTCCTAGAATTATTATTTTCACCCTGAATTTCCAGAGACAATATTGCACTATTTTCTCTTTAATGAGCAATCAAAAATAAGTAAAAGATTTTATTTGTTATTTGACCCATGACAGAAGAGAATGCCATTTACTAATTGTACCTTTTCTATAAATATTTTCATCATAATTTTTTGTTGTGTACCCTTTGGTACCTTCTCTTTACAAGTATAAGAAATATAATATAAGAATAGTACTAGACTAGCAGTTAGGTCTCATCATTTTACAATTTGAAATGTCCAGATATAACCATATGTCCTTTGCTAACAGTTTCTTCTCTCACACTTTTGATATGTCAAACTCTCTTCTGGCTTCCTTCAAAAATTTAAATGCAATGTCACTTTTTACCTTTTATCTTAATTCTTGTTCTTTTATTGGCCCCTTTCTTTTATAATCTTTTTCTCATATTCTTTCACAGTAGACTCTTGTGTCTTAGTGACTTTATTGCCTTGTTTGGGGTGAAATGATTAAACTCAATCTTATTCTTGGTTTTTAATACTTTTTTCTTACTTTTAATAACACTATTTACATTATTTGGACTATTGTCCTCATCTTTGTCACCATATTTATTACAATGTTTCAGACGTTGTATGCTCCAGCCTTCTTCAGGTAGTTGGAATGTCAAACTGAACCCTTTATTTCACTCACTGTAGACTGTTCTAGTTCCATGTGCCATGTTTAATAATTTTAATTTATTTAATAATTAATTTATCTGACAACTGGATATTTTCATTTCAGCATTCAAATAATTTAAAGAAGGTATTTGTCTGAATAAACCCTGTAAGTACCAGCAATGATTCAAATAATTTCATTTCTTGCACAAATAAAAGAAAAAAAATTGAAAATGAAAACCCAAAAGGAAGTTAAACAATAAAATGTTAACAATTGGATGCATTGCTTACCTTTTGTTTATGAAGGGACGCCATTTTAGTGTTAGAATTCTTCCAAAGATCTTGGCTAATTAGATGAAGAAGAATCCCCAAAGAAAAGGACATTACTTTCTGTAGTTGGCTATATTGAAACTAACAAAGGTGGAGACTCACATTTGTAAATCGGGTCATTCATAAAGGAAAAGAAGTCCTTTAATTCTGATTGCCTTATTTATTTGTAGACTCTCCTAATCTTTTTTTATGAATATGTTTTTCCCTTTTGTCTCAAAAGTTATAGACACCATTTTTTTTACTACTAGCAATGTAGTTCATTACTTCTTAAGTTTAAATTAGTAAGGCATAAAGTTGAATAGAGTGATTAGTTTATTATGTCAACCTTTGAAATCCTATTTATTGTTTTGTTCTTAATCCTGTTAAATATCATGAACACTCACTGAGAACTGAATTTAATATGGCAGTAAGGGTCTACAAAATTAGCTTCATGGCCATTGAACTACAGTAAGGTGTTTAGTTATTTACTAAGCTTTCTTTAAGCCTAGCAAGCAACTTAGTCTGTGAGGTAACCAGCAAGCATCTAACCCATCATGGCAATAATTGTCTTTCCAAAGCATTGATTGTTAAGACCATAAATTTGTGACCTTTTTGCCATTCTTGATTCACATTTGCAAATCAACTGTATTATGGGTCATTCATAAACAAAAGGCAGTCCTTTAATTCTAATTATCTCATTTATTTGTAGAACCTTCTAAATATTTCTTTTTCTGTGGATGATGTTGAAACAAATATAAAAATTCTATATAAATATTTCCCATACTTAGTTCTGTCAGAATCAATGCCAAATGATTTTGTGGGTTAGGTCAGCTTTAACAATCAATTTTTTTAGGTTCAGACATCAACCGCTAACAAAAGGATGCAACTCTCTCAGCCATCAAGTATGTATGTGTATCTCTTTATAAATTTTTGTTGCGAACCCAAATTTGCAATAAGTCTATAAACTATTAGTAATGAACAACAACACCAACAGAGTTTGTAAGATTTCTATCACATAAAGTTAAAGAGTTATTATAAAAATTCAGTTAGGATGATTGTGTAGCACCATTGTAGTAACAAAGAGAGCAAAAATAGGCTTAAGGAAGCTTTAATTTGCTTAGAATAATTGATACCAGCATAGTGACTATTTATAGTCATCTACAAATGAAAGAGTTCTCCAAAGGGAGGTACTCATAAAACAAGGGAGATTACTCCTAATTACATTATCACAGCCATCTTCCAACCACTCAGAATTCTGGCATTTTAATTGAACTTTGTCATTGACCAATATGCAGCTACTTCAGCCACAAGGTACACAAAAAATGGATTAAATTAAAAATTTCCATTTCAGTGGGTCTTACCTCATTTTTTTTTCATGCCTCTCAAAACCAAAATTCATGGAACTATCAGGATTAAAATGCCCTCCATGTTTTCAAAATAATACCCAAAATACCCAAAATTTAAAAAAAAGCCAGAGATTGAAAATTAGAAGGAGTATAAAGTGACTTTAAAAGGAGTATAAAGTGACTTTAAAAGGAGTATAAAGTGACTTTAAAAGGAGTATAAAGTGACTTTAAAAGGAGTATAAAGTGACTTTAAAAGGAGTGTACAGTTCAGAAGTTTTGTTTTCTTAAGTTTGTGATTTTCAGACCATAAGGTTTCTTGCAGAGAATTACATCAGTGCAAAGAGTGTTGAAAAAATTTCCAGATTCAAAGAAAAAAAGACATAAACATCGAAAAACCGATCTGTGGTATGAAACAAATTTATATTTTATTTCTTTCAGATTCTTACAAGAACTGAGAAGACTATTTCATTTTATTATAACCACAATGTTTCAGCCAATCCAATCTCTAGCCATCCGCGGGTGTACAATCTGTCTCAAAAAAGAGTGGAGGTCTCTTTTTTGGGATAAAGCAAACTAGAAAATGGCAGACAACAAGAAATTGAAAAACTTCAAAGAAACAACATATACTAAGCTAAATGAGAAAAGTTGGGCAAGGATGGATTTTGCTATGAATTTCTTTATTTACACTATTTATATTTGAACTATTGTCCTAATGCTTCTTGTTTTTATCACAACGCTTTAGCCATTGTCCCCTCCGGCCTTCCTCAGGTATATGTCAATCTAGGCAACATACAGGATATTCTGAACTGAACCCTTTATTTAATCTCATTCCACTGTCAATGTCTAGTGATAACGTCTTATGCTATTTAATATTGCTCAATTATTGTTCACCATTTCCACTGCCCAAACCAAGGATTTAACATGCAATTACCATGTCATGAAATTCACAAACCAATGCTTTTATTCACTAGGATATTGTCCTAAATAATGGAATGGGAATAGTCTAACTATGTAAATTAAATAAAAGGTTCAGTTCAGAATTTCCATGTAGGTTATCCAGATCAATATACACCTGGAGAAGGCTGGAGGGTACAAGGGTCGAAACGTTGTGATGACAACAACAAAGATGAAGAGTAGAGTCTGAATATAAATACTGTAAATAATTCAGACAAAAATGATGAATTTCTTTATTTAGCAGAGAAAGGAATGACAAACCTTCTTTACAAATTATTCAATGACGGAATGAATCGGGTTGCAGAAAATGTTATCAGAGAATCAGCATATTTTGCACTATGTCTTGATAATTTATAGTTAGCACTCTTTATGTCAAAATGGTTTGTTGCTAATTCATCTTATGTTCATCCATAGGTAGACAAACCAGAAATTATACTGAAGGTTTCAGCCTTCGGAATCTATTTGAGTACCACATCCA